GCCTAGCGACACTGTTTGTGTGTGTCCGTGTCCAGACTCAGACAGCCATAATTAAAAGCTCTTTGCCGCTAAGCTGGTTAGCAGGCTTGGAAGGGCAGCGGCGATGAACTTCTTCACCTCATCCTTGCACACATGCACGCAGCATTTCACTTTATTGACATCAATTACAAAATTTTGGCCTTTTGTGTGTGTGTGTGGGCGTGGGGGGTTGTGTGTGTGCGCGTGTGTGTGTGTTCATCCCAAACCTGCATTTGTATGATGACTTTTTAATTTGTCATGCAGACGAACGTCCGTGTTACCACCATGGATGCTGAGCTGGAGTTTGCCATCCAGCCCAACACAACAGGCAAGCAGCTCTTTGACCAGGTGAGCATGCGCATAATGGGGTGTGTTGTTGTTTTTTTTTTTTTTTTTTTAATAAAGAATCCTTCCGAGTCATCTTTTGTTGCTCCATCAAAGCACAGGCGGCGCTGGCAATGTGTGCCAGTAGGTGCTCGGGTCGCTTCTGGTTCTGTCTCATACGAGCCTGACAAAGATCTCTTTGTGCCTATACGTATGTGTGTGCCTGTTAAAGGGCGGCTTTCAGCATTGTTTCGGCCCTGAAAGGTTTCAGTGATGTAGAGGGAGGAAAACAAATGAAAGGGAAGGCTTGGGCTTCTTTTATGGGTTCTGCTTGTTCTAAGGAGGTCACACAGCCGATTGGCGCAAATGTCTGCGACAATACTTGTCATCTTAAATCAGTCATCAACCATTCCTGGTCCTTGTGAGACCTCTGACATTGGGCAGACGTCATCGTGTCTGCTTTTTGGTATTTAATTCTGCTTTCACAACCTGCTTCTTCAGAGGCTTCGAGCTGATTCTCTTCACGTTCAAATCCAGAAGTCGAGTAACAAAATCAAGACATCAATGAAAATCTGTATGTCAAGGTGGTGAAGTCAAAGTCAGGCTAACTTCACCAGGCCAACAGATTCTCAACTTCCAAGCTAAATGCAAGATTGAGGGAACTTAATTCACTACACAAACTAAAAAAAAAAAAAAATCACCTACTTGTTCTGCAGGTGGTGAAGACAGTTGGTCTGAGGGAGGTTTGGTTCTTCGGCCTCCAGTACATCGACAGCAAAGGCTACGTCACGTGGCTAAAGCTCAACAAGAAGGCGAGTGACACCGAAGGCAACGCCACCCTAAATGCACCACTGTTATTGTTTCCTCAAGAGGATACGGTGTTTATTGTTTTGTTTTGTTTTCCACCCAGGTGACGCAACAGGATGTGAAAAAGGAGAACCCTCTGCAATTCAAGTTCAGGGCCAAGTTTTTTCCAGAGGACGTCTCAGAGGAGCTCATCCAGGAGATCACGCAGAGGCTCTTCTTCCTTCAGGTACTCGAGGTTCTTTTCAAATGCACACGTCAAACAAAAATGTGCAGTCATCTAGTGGTCAACAGTGGAATTACTCCCAACATGGAGGCAGAAGAAAATTTGTTTTAAACTGCACAAAAATTCTGCAAAAAAGCGGGTCCACAAACCTGTGATGGAGGGGAGATTTTATATGCAGTAAAATCACTTGGACCAAACTTGGCCGCAAAATGTTCTTTTAATGTTCCATTTTGAACCACGCAGGTGAAGGAAGCCATCTTAAATGACGAGAACTACTGCCCCCCCGAGACTGCCGTGCTCTTGGCCTCCTACGCCGTCCAGGCCAAGTTTGCCGACCACAATAAGGACGTGCACAAGTCTGGCTACCTGGCGGCCGACCGCCTGCTGCCACAAAGGTACAAAACGAGCAATTGACTTTGATGATGAGGCCCTTTTGTTGTCATGGTGACGTCTTGTCCGTCTGGGTGGCAGAGTTCTGGAGCAACACAAGCTGACAAAGGAACAGTGGGAGGACAGAATACAGACCTGGCACGAGGAACACCGGAGCATGCTCAGGTGGCTGCTATGTACAATATTCAAGATGATCACCGTATGATACATTAGTGGTATAAACGAGACATATGATGGATTATATGGTACACTCTAAAGTTGGTACATTAGTATATGTAAACGTGATAGATTACATATGTATAGACCATTCCAATTTAAAATGTGGGCGCAGGGAGGATGCCATGATGGAGTACCTGAAGATCGCTCAGGACCTGGAGATGTACGGCGTCAACTACTTTGAGATCAAGAACAAGAAGGGCACCGAACTGTGGCTGGGCGTCGACGCTCTCGGGCTCAACATCTACGAGCACGAAGACAAGTAACGCCAACAGACCATGAAAAAAAACCCTTTGAGAATCATTGATTTAGTACTTAAGGAAGATAAGGCCGTCTGTTTTGATTTTTGAAAATGCATATTGTGGGTCATTTTGACCCGAACTGGTGCCTTTTCCTGCTTTATCACGAGTATGGCATTTATTTGGGTATACTGCCCCCCTGTGGCGAGCAACTGTATTAGTTGGAAGCTGATGGCAGAAGTCCCTTCTAATACAGTATTCAAAAAAAACTTTTTTTGTGCCTGGTACAAATGTATTAGTGGCATTGATAAAGAAGAAATGTCTATTTAACACTTTATAATCACTATTTTAAATACTTTTAAATAATTAAATAATTTTATGTATTCATTTATTTTGATGGTTCACCATTCAGTGGGTCAAATTATAATGTGAAAGTTTTGGTGTAATAACCAAAAACTGTTCAATTGACGGCCTTAATAATTGTCAGCAGTGATATTTCATTTCCTTTTATGCAGCCCATCAACAATCTTTTCAAAACATCACCCCTGATGTACATAATGACAATATTTTCCTCAGGTTGTCGCCCAAGATAGGCTTCCCCTGGAGCGAGATCCGAAACATCTCCTTCAACGACAAGAAGTTTGTCATCAAGCCCATCGACAAGAAAGCGCCCGTAAGTAGTCTTCTGAATACATTTCCGATGATTGATGATGATATATGGGGAAACCTCCAATTATCTGTGCTGCAGGACTTTGTGTTTTATGCGCCGCGTTTGCGCATCAACAAGCGCATCCTGGCGCTGTGCATGGGCAACCACGAGCTGTACATGCGGCGCAGAAAGCCCGACACCATCGAAGTGCAGCAGATGAAAGCTCAGGCCCGGGAGGAAAAACATCACAAGCAGATGGAGAGGTACAACAACGCTTATTACAAGAGGAGGAGGAGGAGGAGGACAGCACACTATTTCAACATTTATAATTTATATTAACTTGATAAAGATAATACATGTTAAAATTTGCATTCCTTAATGGAGAACTTGATCAATTAATTCTCATTTTAATGATCATTGTGATGATGAAACTACACATTATTTATTGATACAATTTGAAAAAAACAAAGGACCTTGGTCTCAGGCATTATCAATGAGGCAGTGTGAGCAATAGGGGGCAGTGTTGCTTCAACCTCCCTGCGTGGTCGCTTCTTAAATGTCATGTCCCATGTCATGTCCTCCATCGCCCTGGTCCAGAGCACAGCTGGAGAACGAGTCTGCGTGGTCACTTCCTAAATGTCATGTCCCATGTCATGTCCTCCCATCGCCCTGGTCCAGAGCACAGCTGGAGAACGAGAAGAAGAAGCGCGAGCAAGCCGAGAAGGAGAAGCAGCGCATGGAGCGCGAGAAGGACGAGCTGATGGAGCGCCTGCGTAACATCGAGGAGCAGACGCAGCGAGCGCAGAAAGAGCTGGAGGAGCAGACCCGCAAGGCTCTGGAGCTGGAACAGGAGAGGAAGCGGGCCAAGGAGGAAGCCCAGCGTTTGGACAAGGAGCGGAGGGCCGCCGAGGAGGCCAAGGCTGCCCTCGCTCAGCAGGCCGCCGACCAGATGAAGAACCAGGAACAGCTGGTACGCCCGTTTCAATGTTTTGTCCCATCTATAATTGGTTCAGCATAGTGAGGGGGTAAAGCTACGATCCATTGCAACAGTGAGATTTTCTGTTAATCTAAACGAGGGCCCTACCGACTGGCTAATTAATCAGTTGGTCTCTGATTTAACCTGTACCATCAATTTTCCGTCCTACTCCTAATTGATTTTAGTGTGGCTGAAAAATGTGATGTGATTGACAGGCTGCTGAATTAGCCGAGTTCACCGCCAAAATTTCTCTGCTGGAAGAAGCCAAGAGGAAAAAGGAGGAAGACGCCACCGAATGGCAGCACAAAGTAAAACTTCACAACACGAAAGTGATAACTGAAATAAAAAAAATAAGATGTCGTTTTATGTGGTTTTCAAGCTAATATGAGCTGCAAATGAATAGGATGTCCGTTTATCTAAAAAAAAAAAAAAATCCTAATGACATCCTTTTTTCATCCCACACAGGCCATGGCGGCGCAGGAAGATTTAGAAAAGACGCGGGAGGAGCTGCGGGTGGCCATGACTTCACCCACTATGGCGCCACACGAGCAGGACGAGCATGACGAGAGCAACGGAGAGGCCAGTGCCGAGCTCTTCAGCGACGGAATCAGCAGCCAGCGTAGCGAAGAGGAAAGAGTCACAGAGGCACACAAGAACCAGCGCGTCAAGGAGCAGCTCCAGGTCAGGGGAAAAAAAAAAAATGTTGGATAGGGAGGAAAAACATGTGTGTTTGTATATTCCTGAAAAGTTTTACAGATTTGCAAAAAAAAAAAAAAAAAGTCGTTGCGTTTTTTTAATTTTCCTCCCTCCTTTATTTATTTTTGTCAGGCTCTGAGCTCCGAGCTGGCAGAGGCTCGCGACGACAGCAAGAACACAGCCAACGATGTCCTTCACGCCGAGAACGTGCGAGCCGGCCGTGACAAGTACAAGACGCTGCGGCAAATCCGGCAGGGCAACACCAAGCAGCGCGTCGACGAGTTTGAGTCCATGTGAGAGAGGCACACAAAAAAAAAAATTAAAAACCTCAGCAGAGACTTTCGCTTGCGCCTCGCCAAAGATCCGCCAACCCTCCCCCCCCAAAAAAGCATCTTTTTACCGGACGACTCACGCGGATGACTCTAAAGCTTTAATGTCGCTCGCGGACTTTGATATCCGTCATTTTTTTCTGTCTAGCATTGTTTTCAGCTATTTTGTTTCTTGCGTAGGATTCTCTTGCGTTTGACTTTGTTTCCTGTATATGTGGCTCATCAGCTGACCAGTAAAACTCACAAAACCAAAAATCAACCGTCTTGAGGCTTTTTGTGCCCCCTTTCACTATTTTCCTTTAGTGTATATTTAACTTCAGCATTTCCATTTCCTTGCGACTCTGAATCTACTATTGGATCAAATGCTAACTTCATACGCGACCAGGAAACACATGGCCCTACTCTGAGTATCTTGTAGGATGAAAAGAGACATTCCTGTAGCTCTTCAGCTGACCACTACACACGCAAACTAAACGCACTCGTCCGATGCCACTGCAGAGTCTCCATATTTACCTCTTCAATGACATCCAAGCTTCACCAGCCAAGGTAAGAAATGTGCTTGTATTATCTGTAAATACTGCTCTGCTGTTGTTCGGTCATGGGCCAAAATGCCATTGCTAGCAAGGTTAGCTGTGTGTTTTGAATGATTATTATACTGAATAGAGAGTTACATAATATGGCAATTTGTTAGCCACAAATGTTACGTTAGCGTCCATCTTGATCTGTTTTGCCGGATACAGTAGTAACTGGACAAGACTAAATGGTGTGAACACAGCCATTTTGTTTTATTGCTCATTTTCAATGTAACAAACACAGCAATGGTAGGAAAGGTTTGCATTTTGTGCTTTAGGGTATGTAAAGCTTCATTAGCACCCCCCTAATGCGCACAACAGAAGCAAGAATAATGTCCCGTAGGCACATTTTAAAGCATTCAGGAAGTGATGGTTACAAATATTTGGTTCTTTTGGATGAAAACATTCAAATCCATTTTGTCCGATGTTTGACCCATCCTAAAGAAATCGGTTAGCAATCGAATAAAAATATTCACAGTACAAAGTCCAATTTTACATGAGAATTTCATTTTGTCTTGATATTTTCATCTGATCTTGACACATGAATCAGGAATGAAACCTTTTGGTGTATAGAGATGAAAGCCGTTGTTTTTTTTTTTAAAGCCACATAGCATCTGAATCAAAACTCATAATTTTGATGTTTCAACTGGAAGACAACCAAACAAATCATCTTTCATTTCTAACCACATCATGTCATCTTGCCGTTGATGTTTCACAATTACAACGTTGTTTCCATTATTCCAAGACATCACAGTTTTGGTTTTCATTTTGTCTTTGATGTTTCTAACTCGATAACACCTTTTTACTGAACCGTCTACTCCAGTCACCCACCGAAGCGTGACGCATAGAAAAGAAAAAAATCACTTCTTCCAAGGAGAACATCATCATCATCATGAAAAAATAAGTTATTGGGAATGCGGAGTGGAAAAAGTAAAACATAGTCGAGGTGACAAATTTTGTGACAAATACACAAAAGACTTATTTATATTCTCCTATAAAAATGACCATATCGCCATTAGGATACAATTTGTATCAACAAAGAAAAGTCAGGAACATACGCCAACCAGGAATCGGCTTATCCACGTTTACGGCGGCAAATCTTTTTGAGAATGATTATAAACTTAGCACGACGGCTAGAAGTGCGTTGAAAAGAAAAAAAAAGATTTAAAATACTGTCAAGAGCGTAAATCAAAGGTAAAGCTTAACTGGGAATCTAATACCATAAAATGACAAATATTCATCCGAAATGGCTTGCCGATCCAATAGAATACGGACGACTATGCCAAATTTGTCAAAAAGTGTCATCAAGTGTGGATTTTGATCAAAGTCTGTATATGGGGAAAAAAAGTCAAGTTTAGAATGAATAAGCAAGCATTCAAGTTGCTAACTATTTTGGCTTTTCGGCAGCAGGAACTTTGCCGCGGCTCTAAAAATGTTTAAACTGTGCTCCAGAACTATAAACATTGCTCAGGAATGACACATTTGCACCAGAGCAAGCAACTTCAATCCGGAATGAGGAACCTTTGCCGCAGAAACTGTCGAAACTTAGTTGCCAAACAGAGACCATTTAGTACTTTGGAGAGGTCCAGGAAAGGGATTGGAACCGTCTCTTTATGGAAACTACCAAGACCCCAAATTTCCTGAGAGTTTTGTGATTGAAATACAAGTTAGGAAATCTCCTTCGGAGGACCTCCCAAAACCACGTAATGGTTCACAAATGAACCCAAAGCTTTCGGTTAAATATACAGAATAAAGAATTCTGCAAAATGATGTTAGAAGATCAGTTGAGGAAGTATTGAGGGGAGGATTTTGTGTGTGTGTGTGTGTGTGTGTGTGTGTGTGTGTTTTCTGCATGTGCTCTCTGAGTTTCACTTCCATTTTAGAGGTGTGGAGGGGAATTCACACTGATGAAAAAAAAAAAAAAAAGACACACACACACAGTCAAGAGGTTAGCTGCGTTGTCTCTTGTAATACCCTGATATGATTGCCCGGAAAAAAAAACAAAAAACACAAGAACCAAAAGTGCCCAAATCATAATAATAAGATAAATAACTTAAGATTTAAGGAATAAATAACATAAAAATGCACTGTTACCCTTAAAAGCCTGGACTCACAAACCCTATTATTAAAAATGTAAATAGCTTGACTTTACAATGTTACAAAACTCCAGAATTCCCCATTTTAAGTGCTAGTATAGCATATTTAGGGATTTATATTTACTACTAGAAATAGCACTAATATGGCAGGTGTTTTCGCTGTGTCCAAGAACTAGAATCTTTGCCCCAAAACTGGAACTGATGCCCCAGAACTCAAACTCTGCCACCGGTCAAGAAACTTTGACACAGAAATACAAATGTTGCCCCTTGACTGGAAACTGCCCGTGATCAAGAACTTTGCCCTAAAATTAGAGACTTTGTGGTCTAGCTGTTCACATATGCACAAACACTGCCATTTTGGTCAAGTACAGAGAATACTCTGAACCTCTGCAACTTTGGGAGCCTTTTGGATTTGGAGGTTTGGGGTTCCTAAGTTATTCAAGAACTATCCTGAGATTTCTCCAACAATATAGCAGCAGCCAGCTCCTGCGCATCAATCACGCTCGGGTTCCGGCTCATCACCACCCTCACCAAATCGGTCGGGAAAATGCCACATAGGTTCAAGAACACCCTCTCCCGCCGGTCCTGGTACTGAGCCATGGGGGAGGACTCCAACCGGAGTAGAGACTGCTGTCTCGTTTGGAGAGGGGACGCAAGGGACGTCTGTGGTGAGGGTGCGAGACCACATGGTGACGAATGTCTGTTCGTCCATGAAGAGGACCAGATTTTCTTTGAAGCTGTATCCTGTATGGGAAAGAGATCATAACAGCGCTGAGGGGACTGTTGGTAGTGCTGGTCCCAGTTCATTTGCATTTGTTGTTTCTCAGGATGTTTCCGCCTGTCAGGAAATGGTGACCCTTGGTGATAGCCTCTTGAGTCCTGGAGTAGGTCCTCCTGCCAAAGGGAACTAGCCAGAACGGAGCACTGAGAAAAGGTGGATGTTTGGGATGGATGAAGGGTAGAACCCAAACATTCTCCTGGGTAGCTTCTCAAAAGTGGCAGGTGAGTTGGTGCAATTTTAGTGGAGAGGGACTGGAAAGGACTTTCTTCCACATTGAAATCCAGTTGTTTAACTCTTGGTGTAGTGTGCTGACTGAGACCAGGTGGAGTTCGGTTTATGGGTCTGCTATACCGGTTGGAGCAGGGGTGAGGATGATGATGGTGGTGGTGGTGGCACACCGCCCTGTCGTCCAAAATCAGGTCTGGGAAGAAGGACTCAGAGCTGCCTTGACTGCTACAGTCGGATAGTAGATGCCTAGCCCGGGGATCCGCCAGGTAGAAGCGCTCGGGACTCCCCAGAGTGGGAAGGCTCAATAGGGGCAAAGTCTTTACTTGGGAGTTGTAGCCCAAGCCTGCAGACTCTGATCGGTAACAACTTTGTCTCAGGTCTTTGGAGCCGGGATAATCCCATCCATCCGGATGTCCTGAGAAAGGCATCCTCCCTGGTATGGGATGCCCAAGGACACTCCCACCACTTCCCATGCCTCCTCCTACTTTGGACTGCACTCTGAGACGGTCCTCCAGGAGCTCGGTGAGGGACCTTGATGTTTTCTTTGGGGTTCCCTGGCCGGACTTGGACAACATTTGGTTCCTGGCTGTCGTCATTTCTTCCTTCTGGCCTTTGGATGCTGCAGAGGACATTTTGGCGCTGGCCCGGAGCTCGTCAGCTACTGAACGCTGAGGCTGAGTGCCCCGTTCTGGGTGGTAAAATTTGCACTTATGACCGTAGGTGCACTTCTTACCTAAGGAAAAACCGAGGCAAAGAGTTTTGATGAAAAGGAGCTTCGACTTATCGGTTCAACCCCGTACTTTATCGGGCTAACATCAAGTAAAAACAGGAAAAGGTTCTACCATAAGGACAAGGCTGCTTCCTGTGTTCCGGAACGAGCGCTCGCTTCCTAAGGAAGTTCTCCAAACTGGGTCCGTGGCGGCCGAGTGGGTCGTCTGGTGGCATGAATCTAACGACGGTAGATGGGAGATCATTAAAAATAGTCAGCCACCCCAATTTGGGAAACTGTAAGGGTACGAAAAAGCTTTTACTTGTCGTTAACAAAGGAGTACATCAGCAGGCGCTCGTCGATGAACCTCTTCCACTCTGGCTTCTCATTGGCGAGGTCGCGGTAATTGTCGTTGGAGACGATGACGCCATCCGACTCGTACGCCAGCTTGACGATGAAGCGGTCGTCGTAGCAGACCACCCGCCGTCCCTGCACGCGGCGGGACGGCGTAAAAACCAGGATCTTGTGTTTCTCCAGTTGTCGCAGGACTTCCTGGTCTGTGGAAAACCAAGTCGAGTTTGTCATTTTGAGAAACTGAGTGGATGGTTGCCTTTACCGAGAGCTCGCTTTCCGTGCACGGCATGTGGATATGAACGGGTATGAATGTGCAGATGAGCCACAATACTATGAACTGCAGATCTTATGTATTAGTACATACATGTACGTTGAAATAATTTCAATTTTGTCCTTGATTTAAAATCGACTAAAATCCATTACATGAGACCTGTACCCATGCCTCAGCTTCAAACTTTGAAGTACCCCATACAAAGAAAATGTTAGTCTATTGTGAACCATCAAATTTTTGGATGAAGAATGACATTTAGGGTTTTACTAGTTAGGTCAAATTTGACTCAACCAGTATGTAAGGGTTTCAACTCTGTGTGTGGTGTGTGTCTCTGTGTATGGTTACCTGTGATGAGAGCATCAGGACGGGATTGCTCCTTCCTCCAGGCAGGGACAAAAACCGTGATGTCACTGTGGCCTCGCTCTAAGAACCAATCAACCGCCAGCTGGATGCCTTGACAGGAGAACACCTCCTTGTTGCCATGACTGAAGGAGGGACATGGATGTCAATGACTTGCTTGACTCGACATAACAGTTTCGGATATGACCCCAGTCAAAGTCAAATTGCGACTTCAGTCAAAGTGCAAAAGTTGCTATTGCGACTTTCGGCTAGTCTCATGAAGGGTCACTAAAAGGCTCGCTGGTTATAAAGAGAACCTCACCTCATGGCGACGTTACTTCCGTCCACGACGACAGGCCGAAGGTTGTCTTTGTCCTCCAGGAGTTTGGACGAACTCAGTGAGCGGCACGAGTCCACCGAGATGGAAGACAAGGAGTATATGGAAGTGGTTGAAGGAGACTGAGATTCTCCCGTACCTCTCGGTGGCTCCACCGGTTCCGCCTTGGTTCCCAGTTTGACCAGTTCCCCTAGGATGTCGTTGATAAGTGCGGCTGGGCCCAATTTATTTAGCACCAATAACACCAGTTCTTCTGAGTAGCCCAGCTTCAGAGCGAAGTCCATTTTGGCACGGCAGTCACTGGTGGTCTGTGGGTTCTCCGCCCGGTCCGGCCTAGTCGGGGAGTCCCGGATTTCCACCTGGGTACAAGTATTGTCGTGACGCTCATCCTCGCTTTCTCCGCTATCCTCGGAGAAGAAGCTACTGAAGCTAGCGCTGCTGCTGTCCAAGCTATTGGTGCTGTCGCTAAGGCCAGAGCCTCCAGAACCTGACACCGCTGTGGATAAAACCTTCCCGCCATCCTTTGGGCCATCCACGTGGAGGTAGTCCAGAGCCAGCCCTGGGCTGAGGATGTGGCCTGTTCCATTTTCCACATGGTCCCTCAGGCCCATGAAGCCGCCTCATGCATCCAGACCCGGGCGTTGGCGGGCAGACTCGATTAAGGGGGACCTTTTCCTAAAGGCTTACCTTAAAAAAAAAAAGGGGGGGTGATATGGTTAATTCAGGTGCAACTTGCTATCGTGGTGGGAAGTAATAAATTGCTGGCATTGGGAAAACTACCATCACTTTTCAGGAAGCAAAAAAAAACACCACTTAAAAGTGGTAGCCCAAGATCATAGCCACAGGTTTTGAACTAAGGTTCGGGTTTCAAACTAGGGTTTGGATTTCTAACTAGGGTTTTGAACTAGGGTTAGCGTTTCAAACTAGGATTAGGGTTTCAAACTAGGGTTAGGGTTTTCAACTAGGTTTAGGGCTTTAAACTAAGGTTAGGGTTTCAAACTAGGGTTTTGAACGAGGGTTTTGATTTCAAACTAGGTTTAGGGTTTTCAACAAGGGTTAGGGTTTCATGATGGTTTGTGTCTGACGCGGGTGGTGGGGGGAATTCTAAGTGTGTCTGGCTTGCACCTTTTGAGCAAAGCAGCTGCCAGCCAATCTGTCCTTCTGTGACACAGAGTATTGTTTTGGACCATCCACACAGACGGTGATTTTTTTTTTTTAACCTCCCCCACTGTCTCTCACACACACACACACACACACACACACACACACACACACACACACACACACACACACACACACACACACACCCACAGCTGCCAAACGGAAATAAAGACAGCGCAAGCACGGCAACTTAACCATGTTCATATATGAAGAGATTTGTTAGCTTTTGTGTTTTCCATAACTTTTAATAGCTTCATTCCAAAAGGTAAATTGCTCATTTGGTTTAGCATTTTTTTAATTAGATGATGGCAATTAAGATTCTTGTTTTTTGGTGGGAATTGATGATGTTCCATTCTAAGGTTGACTTTCAACGTTTCTGAGACACAGTAGTTAGTGGTTAGGTTGATCTTAAACTTTTTTTTTAACTCAATTCCATTTGTTTAGTACAATTCTGTCAGATTTTACTTTTAAGTATGTGCAATACGTTTTTGTTGAAACTTTATTCAAGGACAAATGTTTATTTTTTCCTTGCTTTAAATGCCATATTGAATTGATGGATGGAGAGGAAATCGAGGCGGTCGACAGTAATAGATGGACTGGTAGAAAAGGGTAGATTGAAATAGATGCCGCAGCCCAGATGATAGATTAGATCTTTGACATATGATGTGGTATGCTTTGGATCATGAGTTACTAATTTCCATGGATGGATGGAGTGACAGTCAAAATGTTCAAACGGTGCTGAATGTTCCTGTGGCGGAAACTTTTGTATCATGCGGTTCGGTGCATTTGTTAAGTAGGGTTCAGTTGTATTTAACTTTTAAGTCCAATCCATTTAAACCTTGCGAACGGCTCAATTTAGTTGAAAGAAATTAGAAAGCATTACCTTGTTGTTGCTGAAACAATTCTACATCAAATAGAAAAATGCTACGAAGATGAACCATTCCAAGTACTGTACGTGTTGTATGACTCAATCAATAATGATACTTAAAAAGCAAAGTAATGTTAAAAAACGAATTACTCTTGTTCAAATAAATAATTTCACATGCAATGCTTTGCCTCAAAAAATCAGTAGAAAAATGTGATGAGATAAATGTTTAATGAGTTAGATGAGGTACACATAAAAATACAAAACACTCTTCCAATGAACAATTGGGAGTAGTTGAGCATTTTGTTGTTACGAAAACTGTTGCGATTTTTGTGATTTCAACGCCGTCAACCCGCAAAATAACTCATCTGCTGGGATCTGCTGAGTAATATCTAATCTGGGGGGGGGGGGGCTGCACCTCATGCCTCCACAGAGAGCAGATGCCCCCTCCGCGACCGACCTCCCCTGGGGGTCGCCCCCTCTTTACCCCCCTCTCCTCCCCTGAGGCCTGGAAAAGCCTCCACACGGCGCTCGGGCGCTTGCTGGGCGGCTGCCAGGGACCGGCTGGAGGTGGCGGGCGGGGGCGACGCTTGCTGTGCTATGATAGTACAAAGGCGCTGCAAAGTGGGGGAGGGGGCAACAGATGCCTACTGAGGACACACTTTGGAAGTATCCCGCAAACGGTGCCCCCCCCCCCCACCCACCCCCTAGCAACTGAGAGATACTTGTCACCGCATGTGCACTCACCTTCACCTCTGATGTGAGTCGTGCAAGCTGTTCCTAATATTCTGACCTGCGTATGTCATAACGAGACACGTCAAAATTCGCATGACACCATTCCACTGCTGTCATCCACTTTTTGAAAATGATGTTAATATTTCTGACCATTTGTAAACCAGCTTTATGTTCAACTGTTAGATGACAAAAACAAAAGTGGAATGTATCTATCATACTTGTAAAATAATCCCTTACACATTTTAAAAATTTGGACTCCAGGTACATTGTGCAAAGTTAAAATGATTTCATATAAAATGTGAGCAAATACTCTTCCAAAGGCCAATTCTTGTTGACAGGACTTTTGCCATATGTGGTTCATTTCGCCCCGCAAATTCCCCTTTAAACTATTCAAAAAATGGATTTTCCTGATTTACTTTTTTTTTAATAGACTTACTGTACTTGTAATCTGACTGTCAAATATATTTACAAGACTTACCTCACAGGAGGACCTCCTAAAACCTTGTTCTCAGTTTTTGGGGAAGTGGAATTTCCCACCAGCGTGTGTTGTAGCCAGCAGAGGTATACGCTGTCACCCCTCCTAAATAGTCACAATGCCTTCCCCGCCCCCCAAAAAATCACAAGGTCCACTGGAGAGCGAGTCGGAACTTCCTTCCTTTGCAGCGGACCACCTTCTAGTGAGATGTGTCCCCTCCACTCGATGAACCACCTCCGCCAAACCTCCCTCCCTCCCTCCCTCCCGTTAACACACACAATGGGGGTGTGGGGGGGGGGCACAAAGGAGGGTCTTCAGGGGACAGCTGCATGCACACACACTATATCACACACACAGATACACACAGACACTCAATTAGCAGATTGATTTTTCAAAATTACAATTAAAAATACCCTGGCCCATTTTAAACATTTTCACATCGGGGTGTGCTCACTTTTGTTGCCAGAGGTTTTCACTGTCATGGCTGCCGATGAGTTATTTTGAGGGGAACAGGAAATTGACACTGCTGCCCACCGGCGACAAAGGCACACGACGCACTTTGGAAATGATCTATTCCTGGGTCAAGCCGTGGCCATGCTGAAAGGATACCGTCGAATTTGGAAGTCACATTTGAATGTTCGAAGATGTTATGAAAGTGGCAGAAGAAGTTAACGGGTGGAAAGAAAAGCCAACCACAGAAACTCCACACAGGAAGATATATATATATATATATATATATATATATAAAAGCAGTGCAGTTGTTTGTTTTTGTTTGCTTGAGCCATCCCGTACTGAGCAGCCAGGACAGAGAGACTTTTTTTCCCCTGAAAAATCTCAGCCTGTAGTCTACATAGAGGGAAAGAAATTGGACATGGCGCCGGCATAAACACGCTTGCATGTGCACATACACACAGGCACCCCCGCCTCAGAGCAGTGACTCTTTAATTGGGGCTCAGCTGACAGGTTGTCTCCTCAGGGAGCGTGCGTGCACGTTTGCAGACCATCTGCTTGCCGAACAGGTGTCCCGCTCGCCGCAACCTTCTCCGAGGTGCCACAAAATGGTCACTGTTTGCAAATTTTAAGTCGCTTTAAAAACACTGCGAGACCTTTTCGGCTTAGTATGACAAAGCGCAACTACGTTTTTGGTCTGACTGCTACCTCATTGGAAGCGTGAATACAAGACAGACGGGTGAAGTTGACATTGGGAAGCATTTCAAGTTTTGTCATTGCACGTGGAGGCAAATTTGGACGACTCATCATAGAGAACACAAAAGTCTCAAAGTGCAGCTCAGGTATGTTTCTGAAGAGCACATCCACTCGAGGCCCATTTTGGTCCGTTCCAGGACGTCTTGTCATTGTGGTAGCCGAAAAAAACGACCAACTATAGTAAGCCGTTTTTAGTCAAAAGAAACGACCATTGATAGTAAGGCGTTTTTAGCCGAAAAAAATGACCATGGATAGCAAGGCGTTTTTCGACGAAAAAAATGACCATGTACAGTAAGGCGTTTTTAATCGGAAAAAAAACGACCATGTATAGAAAGGCATTTTTAGCCGAAAAAAACGACCATGTATAGTAAGGCGTTTTTCGACGAAAAAAATGACCATGTACAGTAAGGCGTTTTTAATCGGAAAAAAAACGACCATGTATAGAAAGGCATTTTTAGCCGAAAAAAACGACCATGTATAGTAAGGCGTTTTTCGACGAAAAAAATGACCATGTACAGTAAGGCGTTTTTAATCGGAAAAAAAACGACCATGTATAGAAAGGCATTTTTAGCCGAAAAAAACGACCATGTATAGTAAGGCGTTTTTCGACGAAAAAAATGACCATGTACAGTAAGGCGTTTTTAATCGGAAAAAAAACGACCATGTATAGAAAGGCATTTTTAGCCGAAAAAAACGACCATGTATAGTAAGGCGTTTTTCGACGAAAAAAATGACCATGTACAGTAAGGCGTTTTTAATCGGAAAAAAAACGACCATGTATAGAAAGGCATTTTTAGCCGAAAAAAACGACCATGTATAGTAAGGCGTTTTTCGACGAAAAAAATGACCATGTACAGTAAGGCGTTTTTAATCGGAAAAAAAACGACCATGTATAGAAAGGCATTTTTAGCCGAAAAAAACGACCATGTATAGTAAGGCGTTTTTCGACGAAAAAAATGACCATGTACAGTAAGGCGTTTTTAATCGGAAAAAAAACGACCATGTATAGAAAGGCATTTTTAGCCGAAAAAAACGACCATGTATAGTAAGGCGTTTTTCGACGAAAAAAATGACCATGTACAGTAAGGCGTTTTTAATCGGAAAAAAAACGACCATGTATAGAAAGGCATTTTTAGCCGAAAAAAACGACCATGTATAGTAAGGCGTTTTTCGACGAAAAAAATGACCATGTACAGTAAGGCGTTTTTAATCGGAAAAAAAACGACCATGTATAGAAAGGCATTTTTAGCCGAAAAAAACGACCATGTATAGTAAGGCGTTTTTCGACGAAAAAAATGACCATGTACAGTAAGGCGTTTTTAATCGGAAAAAAAACGACCATGTATAGAAAGGCATTTTTAGCCGAAAAAAACGACCATGTATAGTAAGGCGTTTTTCGACGAAAAAAATGACCATGTACAGTAAGGCGTTTTTAATCGGAAAAAAAACGACCATGTATAGAAAGGCATTTTTAGCCGAAAAAAACGACCATGTATAGTAAGGCGTTTTTCGACGAAAAAAATGACCATGTACAGTAAGGCGTTTTTAATCGGAAAAAAAACGACCATGTATAGAAAGGCATTTTTAGCCGAAAAAAACGACCATGTATAGTATGATGTTTTTAGCCGAAAAAAAACGACCGTGTATAGTAAGACGGTTTTAGCCCAAAAAAACGACCATGTATATTAAGGCGTTTTTAGCCAAAAAAAACGACCATGTATAGTAAGGCGTTTTTAGACGAAAAAAACGACCATGTATAGTAAGGCGTTTTTAGACGAAAAAAACGACCATGTATAGTAAGGCGTTTTTAGACGAAAAAAA